ACACACACACACACACACACACACACACACACACACACACACACACACACACGCACTTTGATATGATATTGTGTGTAAGTGGAATTGTGCTTTATGTGACCCTAAAGGTAAAGCAAATACCTGCTAGGTTTCAGTGTTGGAGATGCGGGTGTTCACCCATCATTGACACAGTGACTATAATGAATGTAAAATGTGCACAAGTGACACACACACACTCACGACGAGCTGACCTACTGCCTGGAAACTCAAGATGAAAACTGTAAAGGTGGGCTGCGTGCGTGTGTGTTTGTGCGTGTCTCAGTCAGAGGGGAGAAGCTGTGGTTGGAAAGTTTTGTGCGCTCGTGTCGACCACAGTCCCTGTAACCGAGGAAGTGCAAAGACCAGCCCAGTGACAGTGAGATGAAGCCCCTGCAACACCTGCAGTTCACAACTTTCTTTATTTAACCTCAACTACAGTTTTACTCCACCGTCTGTGCGCTGGCACTTGGGTATAGATTTTACTGTATAAACAAGTATAGAGTACCCGTTAATTCTAAATACATCTTTGGTGGGTGGAGAAAATCTGTTAAATGGCGAGTTTATATCTTCTATTTTTTAAAACTTGTCATTTAGTTTTCCGGAACAAATTGTATTCACAAACACCCTCAAAAATCGGAAGGTGGTTGGGTGACACCCACTTCACAATACTAAATGTTGGTGAAATTACACCACCATACAGAGTGCTGCATACACAACAGCACAAAACCACCAAACTCTGCAGACAAAAACCACACTCCATGCACAAACCTACATTACCTTCCTTCATAAATAAGTTGACCTTTCATAGTCCACTTCCTGACAGTTCTGAGAGGCCTGAGAGATTTGAAACATCATCATAATATTTTCCAAGTGGGACTGTGTTATGGGTCAGGGTGCGTTGTGACAGCTCAGCACTTCATTCTAATTAATATCTTTTTTCATCACCTTCTCGCTTCTGACTCTTTGCACGCAGTTTGTTCCTACAGCTGTGGCATCTGAGCAAACCACATGTCAGTCAGTTTTGACCAGTATCGAATGGCAGTTAAAAAAAAACAAAAACTCCAAAACAAAAGAAAAAAAGAAAACAGAACAAAGCCAGACGTAATCTGCACGGCTACCAGCTAAAAATGAGGTCGACTCAGAAAAAGCTGCTCTCTTTAAAGTGCTTTAAACCCCAACTGCAGCTGAAGACGATAACACTTCTCTAGAATTGGTCCAACTACCAAAAAATGCCGCAACAGAATACCCACAATGCATTTCAAAAGGCTCTTTCATGAGCATCTCTCGTGCCTCCTAAATAGTGACGGCTTTCAGATTCGCACATCTGCAGGTTGTTATGCACTTTCGCTTTTTGTTTTTGTACAACTCTATGAAGTTATTATTGTCCAGCTCCATATATTTAATATTGTTGGAATGTTTTTCAGGAGCTTTGCATATAATGGCCCTCACTTCATCCTTAGCACCTCTCCCGACTTTCTGTTTAAGCAAACTGTCTTCTCATTGGCTGCCCCTCATAAACACGTTTGAATTTCTGGGAGGTGGCACATGTTTGCTCGCTGTTACAGTTGTGTGGTTGAGAAGACCCCTCTCTTTGATATCGGCTGTGTCTGTAAGAATAAAACATAGATAAACATCTATTTTAAAACTGGTGCATGGCCTCTTTAACGCTCGTGACTGATGATGAACTCTTCATGTTCAAATGTATAGTCAAAGGAGCTTGCAAAGAAAAGCGTCTGGACTTCTTTAAGTTGCTTGAAGACGTTTCACCTCTCATCCGAGAAGCTTCTTCAGTTCTAAGGTCAAATGGTGGAGAGTCCCAGATTTAAACCTAGTGGGAGTGACCCCCCACAGAGGGACAAAAGGACCCCCTGATGATCCTCTAATCGCCTGAGCCAAGGTGTGAAACTGGGTGTGGGTCCCAATCAGCCAGAGTTTCATCCGAAACTCTGGCTGATTGGCTACGATGACCTGGATGACTGAGAACCTTCACAGACGATCAGATGTATAATACCGCCACACCTCCTCGTGTCTTAGTGCTTTCGAGCCGGGAAACAACGCCACCCCGTGCGGTTACCTTGCGCTCTATGACCTCAGCAGCCAACCTCCGGGCATGACGGTAGCTCAGGTTGCCCGCAGGGACTCGAACCACCTCCCTGAACAGACCCAGCTGGAACTGGACCAGAACCGGTGCTGTGAGACTACTGGGACTCGAGGGAGTCAGTGTAGACATGGAGAGAGAGCCTGCAGGAGGAAAAGTGGATCAAGTTAATGTGGGGTTGAAGGTGTGACCTGAGAGAAAGCTGAAGAGGTTCAACGTGAAACTCCAAAACAAAGCACTACGCAGGCCCCTGGAAATCTACTCCATCTTAACCTTATAGCTCTTGTTTGAAATAGTTCCTGTTTAACGTTCAGGTGTCTAAAACTGAACACCCCAATTTCTCAATAAGAGATCTTTATCTCACCATCGCCCGAAATAGAAGGATATTTCAAGCAGCGAATGCTCTCTTCGACTAAAAAGACTTCGGTTGTAAAAGCTTTGATATAATAGGACATAACTTACTACACAATACTTTGATCAGGATAAACAAAGAGTTATTTTTTAATCAGATCAAGAACAAACTAAAAAGCACCAACCTTACGGTCTAATCTTGGTCTGGTCTTTGTCTTCGACGATCGAAGGACTGCGTCTCAACAGCACAACAGCTGATCAATCTATCATGGTGCTGCCGAGGCTCATCATGAGCTGCTGGTTGGTCTGGTTTCCTTTTTGTGGGGCTCGGCTGTCTGAGAAACAGGAAGTAACAAGAGAAGCACTCACCTCTGTGAAGGCTGCAAAAAGCACAGCGTACGGTTAACACCCCACACCCTGGCTGTCAAAACTTAAACACACACGTACTTTGAAATGGTTAAAACAATTCAGCGCGCGCGTTCGCCTTTGTAGAAGTTTGGAAAACACACAGGAGGCGGATTTGGTTTGAAAAGTGGAATTTGCATTTATTGAACCTTTGATTAAAATACACATTAGGTTGGCCCCGTCATAATAAGATGCATGAAATCATCAGCAACAAAATAAAAAACAAAGAAAAATAACAAAAAAAAGAGAGAAGGCCTGCGTACGTACATCACCATCAGTGGCTCTGAGTACATGCACTGATCTCCATACACATTTGGACAGACAGCACACAGAAATCAAGATTTCTCTTTTAAGCTTTGGATCAAATTGTTGCTGCTGCAGTGATCACAAATTAATATTTACAGCCGTAGTAGTTTTGTTCTCCCACATGAGAAAATAGTGCATTAGCGGTGACATGTTTAAGGAGTCTGCATCTCCTGAAATCCCAGTTATTACACTGCACCGACCCAGGGTGTAGAAGTGAATGATTACTACCTTACAGTACTGGTAAGTATTGATATGATGGTGTGTACTGGAAAGAAGCACTGATCTTTACTGGATCTTCAGCTACAAACTAGTGTTTCACCATTTGATTTTTAAATATATATGTATATACACATAAACACACACACATAGAGTTAGACAGTGTTGAGATTGTGTGTATGGTTATAGGAATCTTCCATCATTCTTATGAGTGAATAAGTGACAAACAGTAAACACGTATATAAAGGTCATACATGTATAACTCTGTACATTATTTGCTGTGAACAACACTTAAAGCACTTTATGTTTTTCCAGCGTCTTTCCAAAGCTCTTCCACTCACTTCTTTTTAACTCCGTCCTGCACTTTCGGTACTCCTCCTTTCCTCCGTTCATTAAACCTGCACCATCACGCACGTTCTGAAGCAGACAGGATAAACTTAGCGCCGCTCAGAGATCGAAGGCTAATTAAAAATTAAAAAGAAAAAAAAAAAAGCGTGCCTTCGGTTTCCGTAGCTGCGTGGCGATGGCAAAACAGCCTCACACGAACCTGCCTTCACCTTTTTAGAACTCACATTCACCTTTTCGTTTACTTTCTCGTCATGAAGTCAAGGAAAAAGGAAAAACTTGAGGGTGTAACATCACTTGCTGACCCTAATTTTGCTTTAACATGATAAGAAGTACATTCGGCGGATAGTTCTCCTGATAGTAGCGTCCTGGCTTGCAAACAACAACAATCCACCAGACCCCGCACAATCAACATTAAAAATCAACATTCAAATAACCAGCTGTTTGTACCGTCGACATAAAAGCTCAGAGCCAAAACAAAAAAAAAAAATCGCTTCAGAACAACAAAAAAAGTCAGCGAGGACGGACCACCATCAGCCAGCTCCCTGCGAGGGTTTGATTACGACTGATGACTGATCCACCCAGGAGAGGCTTGTACAAAAAAAAGAAAAGAAAGAAAGAAATGTAACAATAAGGACTGATTTGCACAAAATGATGCACATTCAACAACAGTGAATACAGAAAAAACTACAACAAACTCACAAGAGGAATGACAGTAAACACATCAGCTGATGGGCTGCATCAGCTCTGATCAAATAATTAAGAGGGTTACCCACAGCTTTAAAAGACACTTTCACTTCAATATCCTGCTGTAATGATTGTAAACACATTATTTTTAAACATCAAATTTTCTTTATTATTTAGTCACATGGAGCTCAGGTAAAAGGTACCAAAACAAACTTTGATTAAACTCCCTGTTGAGGCTTCAGGGACACCGAGGAGTCAAATACTGCCGTTTTAGAGTCAACTCATCGCACATGGACTCCTGTAAAGGACTTTTTTTCCCAACAGAAATGCTATGAAAGGCAGAATTTTAACATAAAACATGATCTTTTCCTAAACCTGCAGTGCAAAATAGGACATGGGACATGAAACAGTATGTCCTGGATTACGCACGACCCCTAAAAGCTCTTTTAACGTGACTTTAAATTAAGTCACTAGGAACGCAACGGCATCATTTTAGAGGATGTGAACCCCCAAAAATTAAAACAAAACAAAAAAAATCTTTCCTCAAATGAATTTTCTGGCCCGTTTTCTGTCTTTTGACTCGTGAAAAACTGCAGTTTCTGCCCCCAAACGCTGTCACAACCCAATCCAGTGGAAATGAATAACCATTCCCATCAAAGTATGCTCAGTAGATAGCAAGATTTTTGCTAGAAATACAGTACTGTCACATTTAAAGCACACGATTATAGTGAAACTTTGACGACTTGGTATCGGACATGAACAGTTGAGGTAATACATTTATCAGCATTTAGTGTCACGGATACAATCAACCAATGCCCATTAACCTTTCACCTTCACATCACTCCATTCTTTTCCTTCATCTCCAGTCTCCGCCCTTCATACAGGTAGTGTTTTACTTCTAAATGAGACTAAGTGTAAACAAACAAACAAAGAAATAAATCAGTGCACTATACACAGAGAATCAAATACCAAATAATTTAAATCTGTATTTACATAAAAAAGGCATAAAGTGAGGTTGAAATGGTTAGTGCTAATGATGCTTGTATCCTCTTGTTACACCTCTGCTCTATCTTTCAGGTAGTACCGTTTTTACCATCTGCAATATGCTTCAGGTGGATGGTTAGTGTCTGTGTCTACTTCATGCTACTGGTGAAACTGGACTGGACCTGGATTATAATTAGCCCACCTAAGGTTGAGTTTCTGCACATAAGAGATCTGGACTGAAGGAACCGACCTGTCATAATGCACGATGCTCTGCTACGGTGCTGTGAGTGGAAAAAACCCCAAAAACCCCCCAGAAAAAACACGAGGCGTTCAGGTGCAGACGTTCCACGAACTAGTAAGCAGCATGCTCGTAAATGTGTATCTAAATATTCTCTTTTCTGGTCGATGGCAGCGTTTTATACAGCGAAGCAGCAGCGTCTCAGAGGACGACCTCGAGTGTGGAGCTAATGCTTTCCCTCCTCCCCAGTGTTCTTTAAAAAAATATGCTGCAGGCGCAAAGTGTTTGATCTGGCGTTGAGCTTTAAGTGTGTAGTTGGACCAAACCGAGCTGCAAACAGCCTCTCCTCCTCGGGCCGCTTCTGCCTCCCGTCTCCGGTCTAGCCGAGCAGGGAGCTGCGTCTGGATAGGTCTACGTTGCTGGCGCTTAGCCCCCTGCTGTCTGAGAGTCCAGAGTTGACATCCTGCAGGCAGATCAGGTCGTGTTAGTATTTAGTTTAGAAAACGTTGTGCATATTCTGTCAGGTAACAGACAATCGCCTGGACTCGGTATTTAATTCGAAAGATAGAATTTCCTGAGTGAAATCGCAGCTGTGAGGAATAAAGTACCTGTGTGGTTTCCTCGGTGCTCTTATTGAGGAAGTTAAGGGAGCTGGCTCTCTTCATTCTGTACAGAAACACACGATTACCAGAGAACTCAAACCACAAACTTCAGTAATGAGTTAAAGACAGAAAGTGTTTTTACAAAACCGAGTGATTTGAGTAATATTTAGGAATGGACAAGGCAGACCACCCATCATGGTTCCCGAGCAATTAAGGCTTCATTGTGGATCTTATTTACAAGGTCGCGCAACCTTCATGCTCAATTGTAAATGTTATACTCAACTATATACCCACTGGACACTTTATTAGGTACGCCTTTATAGTACCAGGTTGGACCCCTTTCTCTTTCAGAGCTGCCTCAATTCAACAACGTGCTGGAAACATGACTCATTACTTCTTCATGTTGACACAACAGCATCACACAGTTGATGCAGATTTCCTGCTTGCACATTCATTATGAGAATCACCCTTGTGCTTCAACGTCCTGTGTGTTCAACGATGTTCATCTTTGTTTCAGTTTCGTATGTTTCAGTTTTGAACAGTGTTATAATTGGTCTGAATTTTTTGAAGATGTACTTTTAGCTTTGGGAACTGAAGTGCGAATGTAATTTGGACTGGTGAGAAGAAAAACTGAAGTATGCAGTAGTCTTACCCTGGGTTGCGGGGTTCTTGAGGACCGCTGCCCTGCAGCTTCTTCACCAGCATTTCGCTGCTCCTTCTCAGAGCATCACGAATCTTACCGAAGGAGCCGCTGCGGCGCAGAGACCCGTTACCATCCTGAGGGCGAGATGTGCAACGGTAAAACTTTAGAAAAACACCTCCTTTAAGGCACGCTAGAACAGACTCACAGACAAGGATTTCCACAGTACTTTATGAAATTATTCACACTGTGGTTACGCTGTAGTCACATCCAGTCAATGTGAACACATACTGCTACTTTATTAGCTTCCAAACTTATGTTACCCCGTTCCACTCAGCCGAGTCGTCGCCCTCGTTCTCCCCTCTCTGTCCACCAGGTCCGTTCGTTCCCTCCCTGCTGTGTCGTCTGTCGCTCCCAGAGCCTCCGTCCTTCAGCAGCTCCACCACCTTACTCTGGTTAATGGCATCAATACCCTGAGAGAGGAAAATAAAGACAAGGGTGATGCAAGGGCCTGAAAAAAAAACCCTTTTATACAACAGCAGACGCAGCATGTGTTCTTTACTATGTGCAAACATTAGTACGACTGATCTTTAAATCACTTTGGCACACAGTTTATGAGCCAATAAATCGTAGCTGGAATGCCTGTTGAACAAATCCGCTCGCTTAACTGAAAAATCCCTGAAAAGAGCCCAGATGACTAATCTAAAGGCGGTAATTCAAACGGCCAAACAGCCGTCGTCGAGAGGGTTCCTGTTGCACCTGTTTGCGTGACTTGCTGGCGCACTCCTCCAGTGTTTCTGCGGCCTCCAGTTTGCCCTGGCGACGGTACAAAGCTCCCAAGCTTTTGAGGGTTGTGTTCACTGTTGGGCTGTTGAGAAAGAAAGAAATCCAGCTTTTTTTTTCTTTAGATCTTTTAAAAGTAACCTAATCCATCAATCAGGGTTAAACAATCAAGCGTTAGACCTTTCCCAAACTGAACCACAAAGCAAACACTCTCTGCTGCTTTGAGAAGTTT